TTTATGTTTGTGTTTTTGTTTCTATTCTGGTTCTGTTTCTGTTTCTGTCTTCGTTTTTGTTTCTGTTTCTGTTTCTGATTATGTTTATGTTTCTTTTTATGTTTCTGGCTCTGTTTCTGGCTCTGTTTATGTTTATGATTCTGTTTTTGTTTCTGTTTCTGGCTCTGTTTTTGGCTCTGTTTATATTTCTGTTTCTATTTTAGGTTCTGCTTCTAGTTCTGTTTCTATTTCTGTTTTTGTTTTTGTTTTTAATTCTGTTTCTATTTCTGTTTTTGTTTTAGTTTCTAATCTTGTTTCTTTTTCTGTTTCTGATTCTGTTTTTGTTTCAGTTTCTGTTTCTGATTCTATTTTTGTTTATGTTTCTGTTTCTGATGTTGGTTTTGTTTCTGTTTCTGTTTCTATTTCTGTTTATATTTCTGGTTCTGGTTCTGTTTCTATTTCTCGTTTTGTTTCTGTTTCTCGTTTTGTTTTGTTTTTTGTTTTTGTTTCTGAATTTGTTTCTGTTTCTGTTTCTTATTTTGTTTCTGGCTCTCTTTCTGTTTCTGTTTCTGGTTCTGCTTCTGTTTCTGTTTCTGTTTCTCGTTCTGTTTCTGTTTTTCGGTGTGTTTCCATTTTTGTTTTTGTTTTTGTTTTTGTTTCTGTTTTCGTTTCTGTTTCTGTTTCTGGTTCTATTTCAGTTTTGTTTCTTTATCTCTTCATGTTTCACTTTCTGTTTTTTGTTTATATTTATGATTCTGTTTCTGTTTCTGGTTTTGTTTCTGTTTTGGTTTGTGTTTCTGTTTCTGATTTGTTTATGTTGCTGTTTTTGTTTCTGTTTCTGTGTCAGGCACTCTTTCTTTATCTAGTTCTGTTTCATTTTCTGTTTCTGGCCTGTTTCTGGTTCTGTTTCTGTTTCTATTTCTGTTTTTGTTTCTGTCTTTGTTTCTGTTTCTGATTCTGATTCTGGCTCCCTTTATGTTTCTGGTTCTGGTTCTTGTTCTGTTTCTGTTTCTCGTCCTGTTTCTGTTTCTCGGTCTGTTTCCATTTTTGTTTTTGTTTCTGCTTCTGTTTCTGCTTTATTTTCGGTTTTTGTTTCGGTTTCTGTTCAAGTTTCTGTTTCGTGTTCTGTTTCTGTTTCTGATTCTGGTCAGGTTTCTGTTTCTGGTTCTTTTTCTGTTTCTGTATCTGTATCTGTTTCTGTATCTGTTTCTGTATCTGTTTCTGTATCTGTTTCTGTATCTATTTCTGTTTCTGGCTCTGTTTCTTTTGCTGTTTCTATTTTTGGTTCTGTTTTTGGGTCTGTTTCTGGTTTGTTTTTGGGTCTGTTTCTGGTTTGTTTTTGGGTCTGTTTCTCGTTCTGTTTCGGTTTCTGTTTCTGTTACTGATTCTGGTTCTGTTT